GTGGCAGCCTTTAAACTATCTTCCCTTACTTGATTTACCTTGAGATAGTTTTCCACCCTGGCTGCGTAGGACTCCCACCTCTCCGGATGTGAGACGTCGAATTCCGAAAGCCTTCCAATTTTTGCCATTTTGTAGAAAGGAAGGGTCTATCAGCCAGCCTACCCCCGATGCTCACTGGATTGGCGGGTAGCTGCCGAGTCAACGCCGTTCCTGCCACTCAGGACTCACTCGGGTAAGCTTACACCTTTCTTTTGTCGATGTAAGGCATCCCACCTTCGTCACCAGTGTTGCGTCCTTCGCGAAATGGCAAGACACGAGAAGCAGTTGTAGTTCTCAGGAAACTTCTTTATTTCAGTTCAGCATACTAGGTACAAGTCACCGACAACGCCCAAAACTCCCGGCCTCTTTTATAGGCCATTCCCGGGTCAATCTGCAACTTTTGGCGCGCCAGCACTTGTGCATGCGCACAAGTACTGGCGACAGCCTGTCTGGTCCCGGGCAGCTTGCACCTGCCCAGGACCGTTTGCAATGCCCCGAGCCTGCTTGCACAGGCTCAGGACATAACACTTTTGTTACATTTTTTGAATTGTGAAATAAATCAAAATAGTGGAGGGAAAATGTGGAATCCAGAAGCACAATTCCAGATTATTCTGAATTTTTATCATGTTCAAAATGAATAGATTTTCTGATGGGATAAATTTCTCATTTATTCTTGGTGATCCAATTTTGCAACTTGTGTTGTACATGATCGTGTTCTTAGATGCTATTAGTAGAAAAAAATATCATAGATCTGAAATTATAGTAGAGCATCAAAAGATCTTTAAAAAGGCTTTAGGAGAAGAATATGGGAGACAAATTGGCGTGAGCATGAATTACAATTATAAATTTTAAAATGCATTGGTTTGCATTGAGTTTTTCTTATGCCTGAGTGCAAATTCAGAGTAGTATTGAACAAATAGAAGATCCGGTTAAATGATGGGAGGGAAGGCTTTTCTCCTATATTTTCCTAGTCCTTTATATGTATAAGTAGCATCTGACAGGACTACCACGCTGAGATTTATACAAAAAGCATATAGCATCTGTTCCTTATGGTGCGTTAGATGGGGAATATAAAAATATAGAGAAATCCTGGTTTGATGAATATACAGAGCAATTAACTAATCAAAGCTAAATAAGGCGAATCAAATAATCATAATAGATTTGTAATATGGAAAAACATTTATAAATAAAGAACCAAATAAGCATGGAGGTTTGCAGAGAAATTATGAAAATAGAAATCCAACTTATGTGGTAGGTGTCACTGAAAGACTAATATGGAAATTTATGAAGGCAACAACAAAAAGCTCATTGTTGGTCAAGAGTACTAAACTGAGGTTCTGTTGAATCTGAAGAATTTGGTCTTCAGATTCACAGAAACCTACTCTTACCTGATTCCTTTGTTCTTCGCTGTTTCATTTTGTAAATGGAAGTAATTGTGAATGTTGGAACTGGTAACATGAATGGATGGGGAGAAACAAGCATAAGCCTTGTCATGAACTTCTCTGCCCTATACTTGTCAGTGTTGCAAACTTTAAGGGGCTAGAGTAAAAATGCAAAGTCTGGCAGCTGAGTGACAACTAGAAGACCAGGAACAGAAAAATATGATAAAAAGGTCATGTGGCAGCATGCCTTGAAGGATGAAGGACAGTGGAGGTCCCAGTTCCTTTTCTGTCATTGGTCAATGGTCAGTCTTTCTTCAACTTCTGTCAACTCTGGTGAAATGAGATTTTTTGCAAAAGCTTTTAAGCAGTGTCATCTATTGCTCACTTATCCCTTGTCTCTATCCAGGCCCTGGAGTCTTGAATAGGACAGCACAATGAGGAACGGATAGAAGAATTGCCCTGTTTCCTACTGAAGCAAAATATGAAATACAACAGTCTTGGGTGCTGTGTATTTCTAGGACCTGGCACCCAGTTTTCAAAGCATAAGATTTTTGTCGGCTTTGGAGAGCATATATATATACCGCATATGCCGGCGTACAAGGCGACCCGGCGTATAAGACGACCCCCGTCTTTGTCGCTGGGCCGCATTCCTAGAACGTCGTCTTATACGCCGGAAACTACCAGTATTTCCGGCGTATAAGACGACTCAGCGTATAAGACGACCCCCATCTTTGGCGCCGATTTTAGCGCTTGCGGAAGTCGCTTATACGCCGGCATATATGGTATGTATGTATGTATGTGTGTGTGTATATATATATATATATATATATATATATATATATATATATATGTAGGTCTTTGGCTGTTCGGGTTTTCCCCCGCGTAAAATTGGAAGTGTCTTGGCGACGTTTCGATGAAGTCCCATTCGTCATCTTCAGGCTGGTGTTTTCAGCTTCGTGCTTCGAGCAGCAATGTGTGGTCTTAGCTGTTTCTTCCTTTTAACTGCCAGTGGGGGTATGAACTGATTGGGTGGGAGCTTGGCTGTGTTCTGATTGGGTGGAGGTGTGTTTTGATTGGTTAGGGGCTTGGCTGTGCTCTGATTGAATGGGGGGTTGGCTGTGCTCTGGTTGGATGGGGGAGTGTTCTGCTTGGGTGGGGGCTTTGTTGTGCTCAGGTTAGTCTGAGTTGCAGAGGGGTTTAAGATGATGGGCTGCCTTGCTATTTTTTGACTTCGCGTTCGTGGTCGTGCCTCGTCTTCATGGTGGGTGTCAGTTTGCTTCATGTATGGATTGGAGGGGTTTAAAGTAGCTAATGATGCAGCTGTGGTCTGGCTTCTGGTTTGTGGTCATGCCTCATTATCGGTGTGGCTTTGGGTTTGCTTTTTGCGTGGATGTGTGGTGGTGACATCCTGTGTGGTTTTTGTGAGTGTGGGTCTGGTATCATTCTTTGTGTTAGGGAGTTGTTTGTCAATAAGGGTGGGTTTCCAAATGGCTGGTAGGCGGGAGGTATCATCTCGTTTGTTCATGCTGTGTTGGCATTTTTCTATCTCGATTGTTCCTACACACAAGGTGGTTTTCTCAAAGTTAATATTATTCACAACAGTTGATAGACATTGGCTCTGAGGATGTACTTCATTTGCATCATGTAGATTGTGCTTGCTTTATGGGAAAGTGGGTATAGGAATAGCAAAAGATGCAATTGGAGAAAATCAAAGAAATGTGCAGCTACTTTCAAAGTGATATAAAGTCTTCCTGTGAAAGTATTCTGGTAATGTAATTGTTCAGAAATGTTAAAGTAGATATATTTTCATTCACATGAGAACTAAACACATTTCTCCTCTATCCCTAATGGCAATCATATTTTTATTCTGATATATTTATAATTTACTGGAAATAAATTAGGTTTATTTAGCAGAAAATAAACATGTGTTCTGATAAGCTGACAATTGTGTAACTTTTAAAAGGTATGATAAGAAATAATTTTCTTTTATTTATGTGTATTTGTTTGTAGACATGTACATATTGTATAAGTGTGTGTGTACTTACACACATACATACATGTATGTATATGATATCTTCAGTTTTTTGGAACAACATATTCTCCTATTAGCAAAGAGGTACAAAAATATATATACTGCTCAAAAAAATAAAGGGAACACAAACATATAGGATCCTATACGTTTGTGTTCCCTTTATTTTTGTGAGCAGTATATATGCAAGATCCTAAAACTTGCTGATTGCATGGGAATTCCTGTAATCAGCTCCCTGATTTCTAGAGACCTATTGAGTAATCTACATAAACACACTTTTATAAATCACAGACTTGATTTTTTTTTATTTTTAAATGACATCTGGAATTCTTGGGAATCCAAATTCTGTTTTAAACTTTTGCAAGTTTTGCCTTCTATTTTATAATTGCAGCATATATACAAGCCTAATAATACCAACAAAACATGAAATGTATTCTGGAAGCATAAGGCCTTCACATTTGCATATCCTTTTATAGATAGACTGAAATTTTCAGAATATTTTATTAAAGTTGCTAGGTTGCCAATTCCCAACCAGGGAGTTGATGGCTACACCTTACAAATCATCAGAAGCTCTTCTGTTCACCTTATACATATTTTCATCTACTGTGGTGCAGTCCAGCAACTTGATGAAATAGGTAGGAAGGCTGATAGATGAAAGAAGGTGTAGCTATTATAATGACTTTCACAGCACTTAAAAGAATAGACACAGTTTTAGGATAGGTTCAGGTAAGCATCCATTGGAGTGATTTACATTAAAAATAAATGGGAAGCTAGCATGCTATAAAACATATGCTTTAAAGTTCATCAGTATTTCTAGTTACTTTTCTGGGTCATGCATAAACCCAGAAGCACTCTTAGAAACTGTAACAATGTTTTGGAAATGGATCCATCTGATTTTGCCTGAAGATGAAATAAGATTAAGTGGTAGAAACCATCCTTGGAAGCTACAGGGTGGGGAGTAACTTTATTAATTTGCTCTCTGGACAATGGAGATTTTGAAGCAATCGGCAGCTTGTGAGAGTGCCTATTACATGCACCCAGTATGCCAGATATGTGTTTATTGCCCCAGAATAGATTTGAAATGTTCTAGCTTGCAGGTGCACATTTGGAACACATCTGCTCATATTCTATAAATTAAGCAGTTGTATATATCAATTGCCAGAATACCAGGTTATGTGTAAGATTGCCAACATATCTGTTCCTCTGTTTTGAAATGGCTGGTAAGTTGCATGAACCTAATTTTTCCCCCTTGTGTCTGTTGTAGTAGCAGGCAAGCCATCTGCATGTACAAAAGAGAACTGTCCAGGGTTACATGTTGTGATGCAAAACTTCTCTCCTTCCCTTCTGCTTCTCCTTCCCCATTTTTCATCATGTTTGGTTTTTAAACAAAAATATTTTCTGATATTTGTTTAAAAAAAGAAATCCACATCACTGTTTTATCTGATGCATTTGTCTCTTACAACCTCCATTCATCCCAACCTGTTGCCTACTCCCAATGCCCTTCTGAACTTGTTTGTTCCTGAATGTCCTCCTTTCCTGTCCTTAACTAGGCGTCGGGCGAATTGCAGGAGGGAAGAAACCTGGACTCTGTTCCCTTTGTTTAAAGTCACCAGGTTAGTAAATGGAGTGGTTGTAATTAATGGGTGGGGTGGGTCTTGTCAGCCACTCTTCTTTCCATCCTTCACCAAACCATTTACCCTAGATATCATTCTCTTCATTGCAACCACCTCATGTAGCGCTCGGATCCCTATTTTACACTGATGGTTTTCTAAAACTTGCTTAGATTCTTGGAACTGTTTCTGTAGGAAAGTAACCTATGTGGTTTATTGATCTTGATGGAAGGTTTTCAATATGCCAAGGATAGGATTGATCATTTATGGAAGTTGCAATGTGAAATAGATTGTCTTAAGCAGGGTTTCTGGGGCATTCCTGTCTAGGGTTGCTCATTGTTATTGATATATGTTTGTCTCAGAAACAATAAGAATGTATTCTTATATTTGGTAGGTCTACTCTGCTGAGGCTCTTGGTCTGATGTTTCTACAGATCCTAAATTGTCCTAAGACAGCTTAGTTTCTCCCATGTCTCTGGAACTCTCACCTTATTGCTTTTACCTGTTTTTTGGCCTTGTCCTCTAAACCAGTGGTTCTTAACTTGGGCGATATCGCCCCCAGTGGGTGATTTCATTTTTCAGCGGGGTGATGGAACAAAAAGGGGTGACTCGGGGGCTAAGGAACAAAAAGGGGGCAATATGGGGGTGATGGAGCGAGAAGTTTTGGGGACACTTTTGAGCCTTCCCCTGCGGCTCCGAGCCTCTCCGCCATTTGCAGAGACAGAGACAGACACTTGTGCTTCTCTCTCTCTCTCTCTCTCTCTCTCTCTCTCTCTCTCTCTCTCTCTCTCTCTCTCTCTCTCTCATATTTGCCCTCTCACAGGGCTCCTGATTGGCCCTGCGCCCAGGTGCCCTGCCCCCTGGAAGAAGCAAGGCCAGGAAGTCCCTTTCCCTGACTAGCCCCATCCGAGGTGCACATGGCCGGGGAACCGTGCAGGGAAGCCCCAGGATCCCCGCTGGTAGCAGCCCGCCAGAGCCTCAGCTGAGCGGGCCAGCCTTCCCACAAGCTGCGGTCTTGAGAGAGAGCAGCCCCTGCGATCCCCAGCGGTGGGACTGTTGGCCCAGCTGGCCAGGAAGGCGCGCTGGAGTCCTGGCTGCTTTGTCGGCGAAGAATGTGAGGTGAGCAGAAGATGGGGAGGAGAGAAAGGGAGGGGGAAGGCATTTTCCAATCAGCAGCAGAAGAGCCCCGGCTGGACCCATGGGAGCACCTCCTCCTGGGCCCGGCACCGGCTTCCTTGCCCTCCTCCTCCTTCCCCTCTTACTCCTGCTGCCCCCTGGGCAGTAGTCCTGGCTGGGGGGGTGGCTGGCAGGGGCATTGCTCCCTGGGTGACGCTGATGGGTTGTGGATTGCCGGGAGCACCGCGCGGTGTGTAACGGCCCCAGCTCCTCCAGCACAACAGACCTACTGGCAGCACGGGAGGTGTCAGCATTGGTCCTGGCAAGAGGCGGATCATTGCCCCAGTTCCGACTGAGGATGCCGGCAGCGCAGGAAAAGGTTTGTCAATGCAGCTGACGGGGGGGGGGTGTTCCGGAGATGCCCTGTGACTTAAGCCCAGGAACGCTGGCGGCATGAGGGGAGGTTTGGTGATGCAGCCAATGCGCGGGGCATTCCGCAGATGTCCCGTGGCCCTGACTTGAGCCCGGGGACGCCAGCGGCACGTGGGACGGCCTGCCAACGTGACCGTGAGCAGGGGCGTCTCCGTAGGCCCGGCGGGCAGTGGAACTGGGTGCCTCCAGCAGTGACAGGGGGTCTTCTGCTGTCTCCTGCCCCCTTTCCTGCCCCTTCGGCGCCCTCTGCCTTTCATTCTCTCTCTCTCTCTCTCTCTCTCTCTCCTCACCTGGAGAAAGAAGGGGGAAGGGAGGGAGAGGAAAGAGAGAAAGAGGGAGAGGGGAAAGAGAAAAAGAGATAGAGAGGAAAGAGAGAGAGGAAGCGCAAGTGCCTCTCTCTCCCTCTCCCTCTCCCTCTCTCTCTCTCTTTCTCTCTCACACACACATTGAGTGGGAGAAGAGGATTGGCAGACCAAGGGCAGAAAGAGGGAGAGGGAGGGAAGGAGGGAGGGAGGGAGGAGAGAGAGAGAGAGAGAGAGAGAGAGAGAGAGAGAGAGAGAGAGAGACCCTTTTGACATCTAAAATGAAGATAACACTGAAGATATATATAATAAAGGTAAAAAAGGATATATGCAGTGTTATCTTCATTTTAGATGTCAAAAGGGTTTTGCGGCTCCCAGTGTTTTGTTTTCGGTGGGAAATGGGTCCAAGTGGCTCTTTGAGTGTTTTGGGTTGCTTACCCCTGCTCTATCCATACAGTGGCGCACCATTGGCCAGAATGGGCAGTGATGGAGGGGGGAGTGCTTCTTTCAAAACATCGCATGCTGTTTTGTGTGTCTCTTTGTATTGTACTTTTTTAGCGTGCACTCCAGTTCGATATTATATTTTCTTTGTGTCTTTTTAATCCTTTTTACAGTGTGCGTGACTATATATACTTTCCTCGAATCTTAATTTAGTTTCAGAGTTTTTGTCTTGAAATTCTTAGTTCCTGCATTGCGGTTTGTTCTTATGCCCTTTTTATGTTTCTTTTTGCATCTTAAATTTCACTTGTAATTCAGTCATTAAATGTTACTGTTTTTCTTTTCGGGCATTTCACTTTCTTGCAATTGAATTTTGTTTTCAGTGTCATTACACTTAAGTGTCTTGAATAAATAAGATAATAATGAAATACATGTATCACGAAGTTTGGGAATAAAGTGACGGGTGGCACCAAAATTTTTCACACAGTTGAGATATGGGAAAAAGACTGGAAATAAATTATTTGCATCATATGTCCTGACGACAATTTTAAAGAAAACAAAAAAGTGTTTACATAAATTGAAAAATTATTTCCTATGTTGTAATTGAGAGATTATACTGGGGGAGGGGGGTGATGACAACTTCCTCATTGGCTCAAGGGGACGATTCGTTCAAAAAGGTTAAGAACCACTGCTCAAAACCAAGTTGACACTACTTCCAGAGTGAGAAATGAAAGTGAATTCCACTCATTCTTTGTTCTCTTTGTTGGAATTCAGTCTCTTGGGCTTCCACTCTTCAGTGGAAAACAGTGGGAGGAATAGCAGAATCATCTACTAATTATTTAAGATTTGATTTAAGAATAATCTTAGAATCAATTTTGTATGGATACATTTATTTGTGAAGATACATTTCCATAAGAAAAAGAAATGACAGATTAATTACCTTACCAATCTAAGAGTGAGTTTTAAGGAGTGCTAGCTCCATCTAGTTATTGATCTACCACTGTATTTATTTGTGAAAAAAGCTCTGTGCCTTAACACATTCACAATAATGTGTGAATGAGCTATGGGCTGAAAGCCTTTTAGAGATGAAAGGGCACAGGGGGTAAAGTATATTGAATTATCCCCAATCTAATTCTATACATTCTAGCTGCTGTTTTCCTTACAAGTGAGAGTAGAAATTCCAGGAAAAGAATAATATTTAGTGGAGAAAATAGCAGCAGGTGGGAATGGTTTAAGTCTGACATGTCAGCATAGAAGAAGAACTAAGAAAGCCAGCTCTCTTGAATTGTCCTCCAGCTGATTCCCAATATCCTGCAGGTACTTTTAATTTCAAACAAAGAAGTGTACATAAGAGATAAGCTCTAGTTGGTTTGACTTATACTAAACTGGCAAATCATCTAGTTTAGTGGTTAAGGCACCAGACTAGGAGCTGGGAGATCATGAATTCTAGTCCCATCTTAGCCATGACAACCAGCTGGATGACCTTGGGCCAGTCACTCTCTCTCAGCCTAAGTCATTTCAGAGCACTATTGTAGGGAAAATAGGAGAAGGGAGAAATATTAGGTTGGCCACCTACTGCATATTAAAAGGTGGATACAAGTATAATATTTTTTTCTAATTGAATGCTTTTCTTTTATACTTATATAAGTTGAAGGAAAGGTGGTGTGTGAGCACTATATGATCATTTCTGCTACTAATGCAAAATTATTGTTTTGTTGTTGTCTTAGACAGTACAATCTAAAAAGCTGTTGTAAGAGGAAGGGAATTTGTATGTTTTGGTGCCATCTACCATTTGTTATTGAAAACGTTTAAAGACTTGGCATGAAAGTTCCTGAGTTTGGCTACAGCATCTTCCTTACCCATATCATCAAATCTTTAATCTAGCTGGCTTTATTTTGAGAGACTCATTCATTAGCAAAATAACTGTAGCTGAGCTGTTGGGCAGACTTACAAAATAACAATAAAAATATAATAGGAAAGCTGAAGGCATTGCCGTCCTGCTGTTGTTTTTGTCACTGCGATAGATTTTATTTCTGTGGCAAGGGCCAATATTGAACATTCTGGATAAAGAATACTTGTGAAATAGCTGCTAAGAAAAAACTTTAACATTTAAATTAAGGGAAAATGAGTCTAAAAGAAAAATCCTACAGGCAAGAAGTAGAAACATGCACTATCATTATTTATCATTCATGTCAGTCTCACAAATACTACCACTACACAAAGGCCATTTAGTCATAGAAATATTTTTCCTAAGTGGATATATACTTTATATATAGTATGCTTACTATTTTGAAGGAGAATCAACTGTGCTAGGTCCTTAGGAGTGAAAGCCCACTGGATGATGTTGGGTCAGTCAATCTGTCTCAGCCCAAGTAGTCTTACTGGGTGGTTTTTTGGGGGGGAAATAGGAGTAAGAAGCAGCTAAATATACTAGCTTGAACTGCACAAAACAAAGGTGGGCTACAAATATAAAATATCCCAAATATCTTTCCCTGTTTATTATCATCTTACAGGGCTGCTATGGGAAAAATAGGCGGAAGGAATAATAGATATACTCACTATCTTGAGTTATTATTATTATTAATAATAATAATAATAAAGTTGGAAGGGACCTTGGAAGTCATCGAGTCCAACCCCCTGCTCAGGCAGGAAATCTTACACCATTTCGGAAAGATGGCCATCCAGTCTCTTCTTAAAAACTTCCAATGTTGGAGCA